TAACTATGGGATACCCTAAGTAATTGAATTAAGGTAACATAGTGATGTAATTAGATTAGAATTAGATCAATTTAATGTTCTAACTGTTATAACTTATAACCTTGTGTTTTATTGATATGTAATGTAATGATATTGCTAATTAGAGAACAATAGCGGTGGTCTGCTTGAATATTTGGGCAACCTGATCTTTCCTACTATCTAGATATTTCTATAAGTTAATTAATTTTAGATGTTTTAATACATCGCATGCATTTCCGAAAAGTGTACAACCTTTCGTTGTACTTACTTAGTTACATACGTCTGTTACTCCTAATGGAGTATAGGCCGCCGACCAGCATTCTCCAACCCACTCTGCCCTCGACCTTCTTTTGTAGTTCCATCCAATTCTTGTTCATCTTTTTCATGTCTATCTCCGTTTCCCGGCGTAATATGTTTTCTGGTTTCCCTCTTTTCCTTTGGCCTTGAGAATTCCATGTGAGAGCTTGTCTTGTGACGCAGTTGGGTGCTTTCCTACCTTTCGTTGTATAAGTTATAAAATAACTCAATCAGAGATATGGTAGTTGCTGGCATTATGCATTGAAAAGACTGAACATTGCTTAGATGTCGACTGACTGAACTGATAATATCTAACTAGCGATCATTCAATATGTTATCATCAGAATCGTCCAACAAGTAAGAAATGGGAAACTTGTTGAAATACTTTGTATTGAGAATTCTATATTCTACCAAAAGACATCATATTGAATAAAGCTAATAATAACAATACTAATGTAATATAATTATCGACTGGGCCGATGAGGCGTAAAACCCGTACGAGCAGTCTAGAGTCCTTATTGATCCTGCTTCCTGCCTAGCCCAGCCAGTTAAGTCTACAATACCAATCTCAGCCTCCACGACATGAATCAAGTATTTCAAACATACTGGGTTTATATACAAACCAAACAGATCACATCGCACCATAATATAGAAAATGACATTTGTACAAAATCTAACCAAAAGTGGCTGTAAATGAGGGGGACTGTAATGAATAGACTAAACATAACTCAAGAACTGCAAATCGTATAATAGTAGTCTATGGGTCAAAACAAAACTTATAATAAGAGGAACAAGAATATGAATAGTTTAGCTACTTAACAATTATACAATAAGAATGACTGTATAGTATTAGTCCAGAAATAGATTCCGACGGTTACCATTCATTATTCTCATCGGGATATATCACAAGACAAATTGATTATTGTTAAACTTACCATTGATAATATTGTTCATTGTCTCTTAGATTAATTTCAACATTGATTGATGAATAATGAAAACTTTAATGAATTCAACGAATAGTGTAATGAAATTAGAAATTAGTTCTAGTGGGGAACTGTCACCAGTGGAGCTAATCCATGTTGGGTAGAGACAGGTATCTACCTTAGTATAGTGGAATATGGTTACGCAATTTTGTGGATTCATTGAGGTTTGAAATTCACAACAGTGAATGCCTGTTCAGTGGTCTAGAGGTTAAGTGTTGGTTTGCGAGACCGAAGGCCCCGGGTTCAAATCCCACAAAGAAGATCGTGGATGCTCAATGCAGCGAAGACTCACATTGGGACGAAACGGCCGTTCGGTGCTTCCAGGTTTTCCATGATGGTCTAACATTAATCGAATCATGATCTCAATCAAAACATAATTATCTCTACAACGTCATGCTGGAATTAGAAGAATACTATTCTTAGGACTCCTTTCTTATCATTTTATCAATGATTACAACCATCATTAAAATGTAAATTCACTTGGTATTGTTGTTTAATTGTATCTTCCCATTGTTGTTTAGGACTATAATGGATCAATCTCTTATTATTGGTATATATGCAACCTGTGCGGATCGCCTCGATATTGCCTTAAGTCACAAGCATTTTAAGCAAAAATGAATAGTGCCTGGCAGTGAAATCCAGGCTACGTGTTTCGTCCTATTTGGGATTCTTCAGCTTGGTGTACCTGCATCCCAGAGTGAATGCTTGTAAATAAAAGCAATATCTAGGCAATCTGCACAAGCTACACATATGCCAATAAGAGACTGATCAATCTGCAGTCTTAAAAATGAATCGGAAGATTCAGGTGTACAATATCAAGTGAATGTGAATTCAATTTCATTAAATTATATTGTGATAGCAATTGCTTAATTGTAGTTTCGAATCAACGTATCAATCCTGAAGTATATTTTCTTACCTTTCAAGTTCATATTGAGATCAGTTGTGAATCAAAGATCCATTAGATTGAAAATACTTGAATAAGAGCTATTCAGCATTAACTCAATTATCTAATAGATATCAATCTACCTTATAAATTAAGAAATAATGAAATTCGGATCGTACTGAAAACATAAACATCAAAGTAATTTAGGTAAAACTTGTTTGTCAGTTCAGTGATAAATATGTGGTGTATGCTACTTATATCTGTCGACATAAGTAGTATGTGACGTCAATCAACAGAGAAATGCATGACAACAGTAGGCTTTGAAGATCGACTTGAAGAAAACGGAAATGGAAATAGATAAGAATTATGATTTGAAGAATCATATAGAATGTGAAGGACAAATAATGGAATTTCTCACCGAAAGTATTCAATGCATGGTTCTCATATTTTATCACTGACCGTTACTGCTACTTTGATGTGGTGGCCTATCCCACCTACTGTAATGAATCAATCGTGCTGTACTGGCTGGAACAATCGTTCCTCAAAGTCCTACCATGTCAGACAGGTTGTTGAAGAACAGTAAGAATAAAAACAGCAAATCCAAGGTGAAGTCGTACTGCTAACTGTACAGTGATGTGACGGTCGTAAGGTGTTTCTTTCAGACAACCAGCATAACAGCGATGCTGCCTTCCCATAAGAAAGGGTGGGGTTAGAAAAGGTCGACCTTTCACAAATGCACACCTCGCCTTATCCCACTGAATTCCGTATCTGGCGATATGGTATCAACAAGTACTAAGTTATCTCAAAAAAGGTCATCTGTAACCGACCTCAAGCAGTTGTTCTCTGGGCACTGCCGTCACGCTCTAAAGTCACTAAGAACACCTCTAATACAATTTCCTTTTCAGGTACCTCTAGAAGAACCCGTCCAAGTTGCGGGCAACTGGAAAGTGCTAACCGACCTCATATCTCCAACAGCATTCAAGACTAAACTTTGAAGTAACTACTTCTATGAATTCAATGTTCATCTTGTTGTGGTAATGAGGTATGGCAAACTTGGACCAATGTATATGTGTATCAGGTCTTATGTTGTAGCTAACTGACTCTCATATTTTTTTCAAGAGTTTCTGTGTGTACTAAAAATAAATTGATTGTCCCCACGTGAGTGTTCGTTCACTACAAAAACAAAAATCACAAAGAGGTGAGACTATAATTTATAGACGACCTTCGAGTGACGCCAACGTGACCTTGAGAATGTCCACTCTACTTGCTGTGACTAAATATGAAAGTTATAAACCTGTATGAAAACTAAGGATTATGATTTACAGTTGATGGTTAAGAGTTAGGAATTTGATTTACGGTTTTTCATCACTTATTGACATCAACTAAAATGACAAAATGCTCTTTACCCAAATGGACGAATGAATTTCGATCCAGAATCCGAAATCTATCATCCTAAATCTGATTGGTCCTTCTATAAATTATAGTCTCGCCTTCATCTAGCGCGAAATTCAATCAACCATTTGGTTAAATAGGGTTTCAGCATTGTAGCTCAGCCAGTCAGTCAATCAGCTAAAATGTAGAACCAGGCATATATATGCATTGATCTAAGTAGCCATACCTCATTAGAACAACAAGATGGTAGTAATACATAAAAGAAACATTGTGTATAAGGATATAGTACAAGAAGAAAAAATAAGTTCGTAGAAAGAAAGATATGAAGGGATTTCAACCTCTTAGTTTAAAGGAAGACAGAGAGTGTATACACCTACACCATTGTGATCGATTCTGAGCCATGTCACATAGAGTCTCCAATCATTGGTTACGATAGTCACGCGGATCCCAAGCAGGTAAGTCTGCATCTACCAGTATGGTTAAGACTAGAAGTTAGTGACTTCAAGCACTGATGCCACGTGTTGGTTTGGCCGTCCCTAACTTTCTTCTACTTATCCCCTACACTAGTCAACATTGCACATCGTGGTAATCAGTGTTCATTTAATCCTAGTTATTAGGTGGACAATCTCAAGATTCTCTTGGCATCGCTCAACACATCAACCATAAATTATCGTCTCACTTAAAATCTTTCACTTCATATTCAAATTCAATTGAAATATACTTCCATTGAATACTTCAATTTCTTGATAGTATTCCTTATCCATTTGATGATTTTAAAACAAAAATTATCCCTCACTAAGATGAACATTGAAAATTCTGTCTAACCAACAACAAAAAAAGTGATAATCAAATAAATCATTCAACACATTGATGTTACTATCATTTGTTAACCATAATAATGTACCGGACGCCCACGCATCACATTTTTTTTCCACCCTACAAATTAATTGGTCAATTTTTAAAGCACATAATGATTGGTATTGGTGATGACACTGATGTGTGTGTGTGCCTGTGCGTGTATGCGTGTGCTGTGCTGTGCTGTGCTATGCTGTAGTATGGTGTAGTAAGGTTTCTTTGGGGGGGGGTTTCAGAAAAAGAAAAGACTCTGTTGCTTATTATCATTTTTTAATGATTATCATTTATTGTAGTGTGAACACAACATGTGAATAACTTTTCTGGAGAAAGTGATGATTTTTTTAAAAATCGTATGTCCTGGATCTAAAATACAAAATTGTCGTCTGTTCTCTTAGTTTATGACAGAAAAAAAATTTTTTTGTTTTACATAGAAACAAATTACTAATGGAATAACTAAATATAAATTAGTTACTATGTCCTTTATTTAATTCAATGAAATACCTTATTTTATCCATCATATGCTTTACATGATAAGAGAACAAAGAACAACTAATTGAAGTATCCCAGTTTCTACGAAGAAGAAGAAGAAGAAGAAGAAGAAGAAGACCATGTTGTATCAATCAAGATCAAATTCATTACATTCAATTGTAGAAATGATTCTTTCATTATTATTACTAATGATCTATGGAATTATTATCATTTATAGTAAACCATTAGATATTGAATCAGATACACCATTAACTATAAGTTTTAATCCATCGTCTAATCAAGTACAATTAAATCAACCATTAATAATACGTTGTGAAGTTCATTCATTCAATAATAAACAATTAGAAGTCAATAACAATAATAATAATAATAATATACTTAATGGTTATAGTATGTTCTTTCAATGTCCTATAGCCCCATGGGGTAAATTTTGTTTTCATAATTGTCAATCAGCATGTGTTGGTGAAATACCTAATCAATGTCCATATGATAATGAATTAAGTCTTATTAAATGTCGTACTGCTATGACTGAACAAGGTTATTTATTTTATGAATATACAATACCAAATCTAACTGAAACATGGTTAGGATTAAACCATAATAATAATAACACTTCAATGGATAAGGATAATCATCGTAATAAAATAGAAGGTTTCTCATGTAAAACAGCTGGATTAGAAACACCAAAAATTCCTTTAACTATAGTTAAACCCAATGATATTCAATCGAATATAATGGATCTATCAAAGACTAAACATCATCATCATCATCATCTAATTCTCATTCAATGATATCTCATTTGAATAAAACTATATCTAATGAATATAATACACAGAAAGATGAATCTAATCCATTGAATAATGGAATGAATCAATCGATTAAACGAATCAATTCTGAACTTAAAGGTAAGGCTATAGTCATTCTTTCCTTTTTCTTATCATTGTTACATCTATGTACCTAAATAAATGGTTAATCTGGTTGTCAGAAGGGGCATCAGCATCGTGACTTTCGAAGGAAGTCGGCTTTCATCATGAGGCGTCATAACTCTTTTAAATGAAGACCTTCTAACTCCCAGGGCAGAGTTTAAGTGCTTTGAATATATTTTTCTGATTAGCGTTTTTTTAGTGAGTTAGTTTTCTACGGAATGGGATCGCTAACCCCATGCCCAACCCTCCTGCTGAGGGACTTCAGGCGGAGTTTCTTATCATTACTATACATAAAATAATCACTAAATCAATCGAATTCTGACTTTTCTTCCCATCATATCACTTACTTACTTACTTAAGCCTGTTACTCCCAATGAGGTACAGACGGCCGACCAGCATTCTTCAACCCACTCTTTCCTGAACCTTCCTTACTAGTTCTATCCAATCTTTGTGTCATTCCTCTAATGTCTGTCTCTAATTATACTTGTTCATTAACAAGCATACACCTTTCAAAATATGAATTACATTAAAGGTCCTATCATGATTATTATACATTTCTAGATGGAAATTCTTAAAGTTTTATGATAAAGTAATGAGTAGTATACTTTAATTAGATTGAGACCGTAGAAATAATCTTAATGAATGATCAGTGATTATCTTCTTATTATTATTATCCTTGAAAAAATATAGAATTCAGTTGTATCCATGTGGTTTCATGTTTATGTTTTGCTGAAGATCAATTATTTTATTAGAAAATTTCTTAAAGAATTACCTAAATTTTCTTATGATAAGAGTAAATTTTGATACAGAATTATATTTACTACTGAAATGTATCTTCAGTTGTAAATGTTCATCGAGTGAGATGGCTAGACCACGTGTTTGTATACAGCTGATGAAATATTCTAATTAACGTCTGCAAACCGTGTCCTTTACGAGTAGTAGATACTAGTAAGCTACTAGTGCTTTGACCACAGATATCTTAGAAATGTCACTCACATCTGCTGGAATCATCGAATAGGTAATTGGCAGGTTAGACAAAGAGTATCAGAGAATAATGATAAATCAGTTGATGAGGTTGTAAGTCTTCATCGGCTGAGATGGTTGGGCCACGTGTTACGTATGCCTGAACACTGATTACCGGATAAGTAATAGTGAGGTTAGGGCGGCCTGCGTGAGCATCTGGGCTACATGTTTCTGCCATCTAGATATTTCAACAAGTTATCTATTTTTTGTTTGTTTTAATATATCATTATGTTTATTAACCTATCCTGGTGCATTTCTGAAAAGTGTACAACCTTTCATTGTCAAAGTTACAAAGAGCCCAATAAGAGATAATGTGGTCGCTGGCAATATGCAGAGAAAAGAATATACATTATTCAGATGTTCATTTACTGAACTGCTAACACCTAACTGGCGATCACTCAGTATTTATCGACAGGACCGACCAAGCGAAAGAAACGGAAACTTGTTGAAATACTTTACACTGAGAATTCTATATTGTACCAAAAATATAATATTGAATAAAGCTGATAATAATAATAATAACAGACGCAGGGTATTAGGAAATGATGGTAAATCAGTTGATGAGGTTATGAATCTTCGTCGACTGAGATGGTTGGGCCACGTGTTACGTATGCTTGAATACCGATTACCACGACGTGCAATGCTATTCGGTATTGGAGATGGTTGAAGAACGTTAGGGGCGGCCAAACCAAAACGTGACATCAGTGCTTGAAGTCACTAACCTCTGGCCTCAGCCATGTTGGTAGATGCAGACAACTTGGTTGGGGTCCGCGTGACTATCCTGACCAATGATTTGAGACTCTGTGTGAAATGATTCAGAATCGATCACAATGGTGTAGGTGTATACATTCTCTATCTTCCTTTAAAATATGAGATTAAAATTACTTTATATCTTTCTTTCTATGAACTAATTCTTTCTTCCTGTACGATGTCCTTATATGCAATCATTCTTTTCTATATTTCCACCATTGAATTAACTACTTTCATGAATTTGGTGTTCACGTTGTTGTGCTAATGAGGTATGAAAACTTGGATCGATGCACATATATGCCTGGTCCTACATTTTAGTTGACTGTCTAATTGACTGAAATGTATCAAATAAATATAAGTGTACACAAGTATATAGTTGGTAAACATGGACCTCTAGATAGTTTTCTTGTTTCTATTTACACTTCATTTCTTGATCATTTAAAAGTTACCCCTAACATGAACTGATCATGTTTAATTATCATAGTCAACATAATTCTCATAATGAACAGATCAATTTACAATCAATAATATTTTCTAGTTTCAATCCATGTTTACATAATCATCTTTCAACTTCCTTCATTGAATATTCAAACAGTTCAGTGCGTTAATCTTGATCACTGATACTGGTAAACAATTCATAAGAATGTATTTTACCGTCTAAATGGCTCACTCTGTACAAAATCATCATAAGATTTAAACATATCATAATCATTATCTTAAAGATACTTCTCATTACGGACAAGAATCAAATGTAAAACAATTGAGAACAATAAACCAATCGACCTATATGGCATCTAAATACATGATTACATAGAGGTGAGTACTTGTGGACTTACTAGAGATAATATCAAGTATGTTTAAGTCTCAATGATGAGTTCATTCGCTTTAGATCACCAAAGTTGGAATCCATTGATTTTCATTTTGATATTCATTCAGCTCTCAGTGATACATACACATCTCATTACTGATATTCTTGAACTCCATCTATCACAGATATGAATAAAGAAACAATCTTCAAATACTTTACATCTTCATAAATGACAACTTCCTGAACTTTGTGCTGATGGTGTCGTTCAGAAGGGCGATGAAAGCTTCACGAGCAAACCATCCAGTTCATAGAATAAAACTACATCGAAATCATTCACCTAAGCTATAAATCTTCTCCATTATTTCATAACTGATCATTCAGTTTTCAAATAACATAAAATTCAGATTCATACTAAGAATTCATTTATAATTGTATAATTGGCATTATGATTGTACAGCCCTGACGACTGGAATACCATACTAGGGATGTCTGTGATCATAGTTTACAAGACCTACTAATGACTGAATAATTTGTTAGTATTAACTTGACTGTCACATGATATATGACATGACGTGTCATTCATGTTATGGATGATGTAAGTTATCAAATAGAATAGAATTGCTGTCATCTTTTTTTAAAAAAGCTCATACTGATTAACAAGCACATTGTTATATTTAGAGCTGAGAGCCTTGATATACCGTATACAATTTGAGTAGTTGAATGCTAGAACCCTCTAAGTGTCAAATGAGAAGATAGAAAATGATTGAGAAGGAATGTTATTCTAAACTGTGTCAAATATGATACAAAACTCTTAGGTATTTATAAGTTTTAGTAAAAGTGAAATCACCATTTTGGGAGTTTATAGCATTTTTTCAATAGAGAAACTATACTTAGAAATTCTGGAATATTCTTCCAAAAGATGATTAGATGGAACGTGTTTGGTTCTTTCTGAACTTCTTAAAGCTTCAATGAGTTCACCCGTAAACCGTCCTCACATCCTTATTAGAGAGAATCATAGTAGAACAATGACAATGTACTTACTTACGCCTAGTACTCCTCGTCAACAAGCATAGGCCGCTCACCAACATTCTCCATCAAACCCTGCTCTTTGCAGTTGTTATTCATCCTTTTCATATCTGCTTCTATTTCCCAACGTAATGTGTTTTTGGCCTTCCACTTTTCCGTTTCCGTTCACGAGTTCAAGTTAGGGCTTGTCTCGTGATGTAGTTTGATGATTTGCATAATTTATGTCCTATCCACTTCCATCGTCTTTTCCTAATTTCCTCTTCATGGAAGCTGGTTTTTTCTCCAACAGAAGGCTGTTACCGATGGTATCCGACCAATGGATGTTGAGTATATTGCATAGACAACTATCTATTAGTATTTGTACCTTCTTGATGATGATTGTAGTAGTTGTGCAAGTTTCAGCTCCCTACGGTAGAACTGCCTTGACGTTCGGATTGAATATTCTCACTGTGATATTGTTTGAGAGTTGTTTTGAGTTGCATATGTTCTTCAATTGTAGGAATGTGGCTATTGTTTTGCCAATCCTCACCTTTACGTCTGTATCTGATCCTCCTTGTTCATCGATGATGCTTCCCAGTTATGTGAAGGATTCCGCCTTTTCCAGAATTTCGCCATCAAATGTGATTGGGTTGGTGTTCTCCATGTTGTATTTGAGGACCTTGGTTTTCCCTTCGTGTATGTTGAGGCCTGTTGATGCAGAGACTTCTGATACACAAGTTGTCTTCATCTGTACTTTTTCTTGTGTATGGGATAAGAGAGCTAGATCATCTGCGAAGTGCAGATCGTTTAATTGCTTCCGAGCTGTCTATCGTATTTCATGTTTTTCCTTAGATGTTGAGGTCTTCATAATCCAGCTGACCATCAGAAGAAAGAGAAAGGACAGCCTTGTCTGACTACTGTCCTTCCTTAGAATAGATCTGTCAGCTGTCCTCCATGCACTACTTTGCACTGTAGTCCGTCGAGTGAGTTCTGGTTAATGTTGACAATCTTCTCAGGAACTCCATGGTGTCGAAGAAGTTTCCATAATGTTCTCCTATCTACACTGTCAAATGCCTTTCATAAGCAATCAAATTGATGTATAGTGACCATGACATATACCTATCACAAATAATGAATGCAATATACAAAGATAGTCGTCTTCTCTAAGCATTGTCATCAACTAGGAAAGTCTTTAACAAGATGTAATATAAATAACATATGGATTCGAACCCTAAACATTTTGTATACATTTCCTTGTTTGATTTCATGATAAATTAAAGATACAAACACTGACTGATTAGCAAAATTAATCGATTTTCGATAATATCAAGAATTTCATCGTATCAAGATGTGACATAAGACTATGAAAACTTTAATAATTGAATTGAATCAT